ATCTCCCAGAACCGGAAGATCTGGAGGTGGGGTTTGCTTCTTTTGAAGTTAGTTCCTAGAATTCTTTTTTTTAAAAAATTAAATCTTTATTGTTCAGATTATTACATTTGTTCCTCTTTTTTCCCCCCATAACTCCCCTCCTCCCAGTTCCCACCCCACCCTCCGCCCTCACTCCCCACCCACTGTCCTCATCCATAGGTGCACAATTTTTGTCCAGTCTCTTCCCGCATCTCCCACACCCCTTTCCCCCCCAAGAATAGTCAGTCCATTCCCTTTCTATGTCCCTGATTCTATTATAATCACCAGTTCATTCTGTTCATCAGATTATTTATTCACTTGATTCTTAGATTCACTTGTTGATAGATGTGTATTTGTTGTTCATAATTTGTATCTTTACCTTTTTCTTCTTCTTCCTCTTCTTAAAGGATACCTTTCAGCATTTCATATAATACTGGTTTGGTGGTGATGAACTCCTTTAGCTTTTCCTTATCTGTGAAGCTCTTTATCAGACCTTCAATTCTGAATGATAGCTTTGCTGGATAAAGTAATCTTGGTTGTAGGTTCTTGGTATTCATCACTTTGAATATTTCTTGCCATTCCCTTCTGGCCTGCAAAGTTTCTGTTGAGAAATCAGCTGACAGTCGTATGGGTATTCCCTTGTAGGTAACTGAATTTCTTTCTCTTGCTGCTTTTAAGATTCTCTCTTTGTCTTTTGCTCTTGGCATTTTAATGATGATGTGTCTTGGTGTGGTCCTCTTTGGATTCCTTTTGTTTGGGGTTCTCTGCGCTTCCTGGACTTGTAAGTCTATTTCTTTCACCAGGTGGGGGAAGTTTTCTGTCATTATTTCTTCAAATAGGTTTTCAATATCTTGCTCTCTCTCTTCTTCTGGCACCACTATAATTCAGATGTTGGTACGCTTGAAGCTGTCCCAGAGGCTCCTTACACTATCTTCGTATTTTCGGATTCTTTTTTCATTTTGCTTTTCCGGTTGGGTGTTTTTTGCTTCTTCGCATTTCAAATCTTTGACTTGATTCTTGCGCTCCTCTGGTCTGCTGTTGGGAGTCTGTATAATATTCTTTATTTCAGTCAGTGTATGCTTAATTTCTAGTTGGTTCTTTATCACAACATCGAGGGTCTCATTAGATTTCTTGAGGATCTCACTATATTTATTGGCGGTCTCACCAGTCTTTTCGAGGGCCTTACTAAATTTATTGGCGGCTTCTAGACAGTTTTTGAGAGACCTTAAAAGTGTGGTTTTGAACTCTATATCCTCCATTTCTGTCATTTGTGTCCTGTTTCTTTGTCTCTGCATTTTCTTATGCTTTCTTGGTGCACCCCCTTGTGGTCTTTGTGCGCAGTCTTGTTGTAGTTAAGCCTTGATTGTTGTAGGTAATACTGGGGGGGGGGGGGGGATTTGACCTCCAGGCCAACTGGCTGTGAGAATCAGCTGTGTCTGCAGTGGGAGAACTTCTGTCCTCTAAGGAGGTGCTAATCTAGCCTTTGCCTGAGGCTATCCCTCAAATGCCTCTGTGCAAGGCTTGGGCAGGGCAGGTCCCAGGGGATCAACAGGGCCAGCAGAGCGAGCAATTATGGCTGCTCTCAGTCCCGTCCCCCAGAGACTCTGCCTCTCAGTGTCCCAGCAACCGCTGCAAACCTCGGAGAGAAAGCTGCCCTCGAGTTCCGACCGATGCCAGACAGTCCCCCTTCTCCCGTTTGAGTCTGGGTCCCCAGAGACTCGCCCGGAACTGGAGCTCAGAGCCTGAGACTCCCTCCCGATTGAAACAGACAACCGCGCCCTCAGCCACCAGCCGGCTCCACGCGCACCTCTGCACCTTAGTATTTTGCTTCCGTACTGCGCCTCCTCTGAGTCTCGGTATGCTTTTCTCTTTCCTTCTAGTTGTAGAATTTCCCCTCAGCCAGCCTTCCTGTGGTTCTGGGTGATGTCTGTTCTGTCTTTTAGTTGTATTTTTGAAGTGGTTGTGCAAGGCAGCAATCTCCGGTGTTTACCTATGCCGCCATCTTGGTTTCTCCTCAGTTCCTAGAATTCTTAAGCAAACAGGCTGTTTAACTATTATATATGTTAGTTGACAGGTCATCTTTTACAGAAACAATGTTAAAAGAATGTTGGGGTGGGTTACTACATGGTCCCACCCAGATGCCGAGGATTCTGGGAAATGCAGTCCCTGTTTGGGTTGACATTATTTAAATGACAACTCATGTTTCAGAATGGGAAGCATGACTTTTGTTGGATTGTTGGCCAACTCTGCTTCATGCCCTTTCTCCACTACACAGATATTGATGAGTGCCTGGATATGTGCCCTTTCAATGCAACATGCACCAATACCCTTGGGAGCTACTTTTGTACCTGTCACCCTGGCTTTGCACCAAGCAATGGACGGCTGAACTTCACAGAGCAAGAGGTGGAATGTGGAGGTAAATGGAGGGTTGCGTGGACATCCCTGGACAAAAATTAATCTCCTTGTTCCTTTGGTTGTTTGATATTCTCGAGTTCTTTGCAGATATTGATGAGTGTGTGCAAGATCCTTCACCGTGTGGCCCCAATTCTGTCTGCACCAATGCCCTGGGCTCCTACAGCTGTGGCTGCATTGTGGGCTTTCGCCCCAACCCGGAAGGCTCCTGGAAATATGGCAACTTCAGCTGCAAACGTAATCATCTCCTTGTGTGTCTTGGCAATGGAATCTGTGTCTTGCTCACTCTGCCCAACCTCTGGATCCTTTTCTTACTTTCACCTCATCCACATGTTCTCTCTTTATTCATTCATTCATTTACTACACATTCATTAATTCCCTCATTCAATATATTATTTTCAGAACATCTATTAATTAGTTAATGAATCAATCTGACCCGTACACTGAGAATTCAATCCTGGACATGATGGACATGATACTTGCCCTCACGTAGCTTATAGTCTAGGGAAAAAAGCAGAGAGCAAATAAATAATTATTTAATGACCACGATGAATATGACCATTGAAAAATCTTAGAACACTTTGGAGTGACTAATGGGATATTTAATATGCTTGGGGAAAATAGCATTTCAGCTGAAGCTTGATGGAAAAGTAGGAATTATCCAGATGAAGTGTGAAGATCACACTCAAAGGCCCTGAGGCTAACACAGAGAAAGGGCAAGAGAAATTATATTAGCTGCATCTGAGAAGGTGGGCGGAGGTCAGATACTGCAGGATCTTGTGAGCCGTGCATACAATTTTGCAGTCTTCTTTGCCAAGAACAACGGGAAACCAGAAGAGGTTTAAAAATGTTAAATGCTAGATTCTTTGGGATGTTAGAAATATAAGTAACTTACATGGAAGCAATGAAGTACAGTAATAAAATGACTCTATCAGAGGCCATTGTCAACATAAGTAGAATATCATTGATGTCCTTGCTTCTTCCCCATTCCACATCCCTGTCTCTGCCCCAGAGGGAATCCCTTTGAACTTGTGTTCATAATTACCCTACTTAAATAAAGATTTCTTCCCTTGTATATATTCCTAAACAATGCCTTGCTTATATTTGTTGGTTTTGGAGCTTTATAAAACATCTCAGAGTCTCTGATATGGTGGTGTATAGTTTACTTGTTTCCACTGTTGTATAATATGGCAGTGGATGGACTTTCAGCAGGGCATGACGTAATCAGACTTGCTTCAGTCATATCTTGCTGTGGTTAAGTCTGATTTGGTTGCTTTTGTTTCATTCCTAGGAGTTCCCTTCAAGTGTAAAGAAGATGTGATCCCCAACAATAAACAGGTCCTGCTATGCCAAGTGGAAACAGCAGTGGAGCCTGAGGATGTAAGTATTTTTGAAGGTGTTTTTTATTTTTGTTTGTTTTTTTAAGATTTTTTAATTGATTCTTAGAAAGAGAGGAAGGGAGAGGGAGAGGGAGACAAGCATGGATATGAAGCGTAACACCGATCAGCTGCCTCCTGCATGACTACTGGGCATCGAGCCCACAACCTGGGCATGTGCCTTGACCGAGAATCAAACTGGCAACCTTTTGGTGCATGGGATGAAGTCCAACCAACCGAGTTTTCCTGGGAGTCAATTAAGTAGGATATTGTTTGCACCTTTAACAAAGGTAAAAATAGCTGTGCCCCCAAACAGACAGCAGTTTGTTTCTTTCTTTATAACAGTCTGAGTGTAAGCTGCTGAGAGCTGATATGGCTCCATAATGCTCTGCCATCATTAATACAAGACTCCCTCGCTGTGGTCCAAGATGGCTGCTGCAGCCCCTGCCATCACGTCTGCATTCCAGCTGGTGGGCAGGGGAGAACAGAAAGTGAAAGGCACTATCCTTTCCTTTAAGACTGTGATGCAGTATCACCTCTGCTTGTACCTCATTGGCCAGACATTAGTCACTTGGTCAAAGAGCCAAAAGGAAAGTCTAGGAGGGAGGGCACTTGCTTATTTAAAATGTGGGGATTTTTTTACTAAAAGAAGAAAAGATGTTGGGGGGACTCACGACCAGTAAAGGTGTTGGGGCTGCATGTGTGTGACAGAAGATGGGTGTGACACAGCCCCCAGGCCAGCTAAAGAGGAGTGTGGACGTCCTGGCTCTCTAATGAAGTCATTGTCATTGTAGTGGGTCAAGCCTTCATAAGCATTTTCAGGGATTGAGGTCACTACCTTAAATCCGAGCTTGGACATTAACTTAGGATTCCCATGCACTTTGGACCACTGTTTTTTGTTTGTTTGTTTGTTTAATTGTGGTAAAAACACACATAAGATTCAACATTTAAACCATTTTAAAGTGTACAATTGTTAGGCAAAATGATTCCCAGTACTTAATATGACAGTTGCTATCTAATGAAGCAAGCTGACCACCAATTCATCCTGGAATGTTCTTGCATAGAGAAGAGGGCCCATTAAGTTGTTTTCTGCTGTGGATTAAATGGCCTTAACCAGCACAAACCACTGGCTAGGAGCCACTGTTGTTCTTGGAGGCTGATGTATCAAACTCCTTCCCTTCTCTGTGCTGACATCAGCCAGCTTGCTGCCTCCCACAGGTGCTGCTTCTGTGCATAGTTCCCCTGGTAAACTCTCAACGTCATGCTGGAGTTGTCAGCCTCTTGGCCCCAGGAAAATTTCCCAAGAAATGGCGAGCCAGCCAGGAGACCCGGGCCATGGGAAAGGGGAAAGCAGCTTCCTGGGGGGCCATCCTGGGTTGGCCCTTGGCCTCTGTGTGGGGAGGGGTGGCCCCCATGCTGGGTGCTTGGGGTCTCCTTGTGAGTACGGGGACCCCTGCAGACGCTGGCTGGGCTGGAGCTTTGGCTTGCTGCGCGTTATCTGGCCCCTTGTGTAAGGATGGGCCCTTACCACAATGGGCCAGAAAATGCTTTAATAATCAGAGAATACTCACTAGTTGAACTGCTAGATATTGTGGCTAAATTTCAACAAAAGTCACGAGAAAGCCTTTCAACTTGGATGGTGAGGTTTTGGGTCACAGGCTGATGGGCTCTCTCTCTCCTGGACTGAAGGAGAAAAAAATGAGTAGATATCACCAGTCCCCCGGCACTAAGGCCTATTCTGCAGGCGCAGGCCCAGGCCCAGGGAGATCACTCTTTAATGGGTTGGATACCAGTGGGATGCAGAGGCCCTAGCCAAGTGAGGGAGACCTACTGGGACAAGCCAGTCCCTGGAAGTCCACTGAGGAACCTCAAGATTTGTTGCAGGAAGTAAGAATGAGCCAGGCTCTCGGTGGCCAGGTGTTTGAGGGGCCCACAGAGCTGTATTCACTGCTAGTAGGAACCATCATCCTTTGCAGGAAGCCCCCAAAGGATGGTCCTTGATTTTCCCTTTTAAGTCCGTTAATTGGGCAAGGCAACCGATGTGGGGAATTCATGGCAGAGTTCATTGAAACGGAACAGGGCCGAGATCAAGTCTGCCCTGTAACTCAAAAGGAGACTCAAGGGCATCTGCACCCCAAAGAGTAAATCTAAGTATAAGGGGCTCATCTGTGTCCCAGGTAAACAGAGGTGTCATGATTTAGTAACAAGGGAACAAGACAGACGGCCTGATGCAGTTCTGGTGAAACCAGGGAAAAGGCTACGCCAAAACCAGCAGTTCCTGCTTCTCCCATTGTCCCTTCCTCAGCCCTAACCTCAGCCTTAACACTCACCTACTTTCTATCTTCATCGATGTGCCTGTGCTGAACATGTCACATACATGGAATCACACACCGTGTGGCCTTTTGGGCCTGGCTTCTCTCTCTGAGCATCATGTGTTCAAGGTCCATCCATGTTGTAGCGAGTGACAGAGCTTCACCCCTTTTTATGGCTGAGTAATACTCCATTTAGCCACTGATTTTTTTCACACATCTCCCCATCTTTTCACCCCACTATGTAGCTCTGCTTTTATGTGTGTCTGATGTTTTATTCATGGAAGAGAAAAGTGCTGTGGCTCCAGTTCGGATCATATGGTGAGTTTGTATTTCCCTGAGGATTCTAGAGACTCAGGGACCGAGGGCCACCCCATGCAGTGGACGTGGTGGCCCAGTCTGTACCTTGAATGCGTGGGGGAGGGACAGATCAGTGCTCACAAATGCTCTTCCCTCTGGCACAGGTTTCGTTTTGTGCACTCATGAATGCCACCTTCAGCGTTCTGGATGAGACCTGTGCAAATAAAACCACGGCCGTTTCTCTGAAGGTAATGACGCCTTTGTCATTGTGTTTCATGGTTTGAATCTCTCAGGGGTGCAGAAAGTCCTCTTTATAATTGAGCTGTGAGTTCACATTTAATTTATGAAAGTTGTGAGGCTTGAAAAGTTAACATAGAGAGAAAAACAGAACAAAGTAATGAAAGTTAACATACAGCAGAATTGCCCTTTTCTGGACAATTTTACATGTTTGATCATTACCTGAGTAGATGGGTGTAGCTACCACTACAATCAGAACACAGAACAGTTCTAATTCCCCACCCCTCCCCCTCCCCCCACCCCCAGGCTTCCTTGGGCTTCCCCTTTATAGTCGCATTCTCTGTCCACCACTGGGCTCAAAAAATCCCTGATCTGTTCTGTCATTATAGTTTTATCTTTTTATTTTTATTTTTTTAAAATATATTTTATTGATTTTTTACAGAGAGGAAGGGAGAGAGATAGAGAGTTAGAAACATCGATGAGAGAGAAACATCGATCAGCTGCCTCCTGCACATCCCCCACTGGGGACGTGCCTGCAACCCAGGTACATGCCCTTGACTGGAATCGAACCCGGGACCCTTCAGTCTGCAGGCCGACGCTCTATCCACTGAGCCAAACCGGTTTCAGCTAGTTTTATCTTTTTAAAACATCATGTAAATGGGGTCACACATAGGAGCCCTTTGCGTCTGGCTTTTTTCACTTAACACAGTACCTTTGAGAGTTGTTAATGTTGTGTTTATCGATAGCTCCATGCCCTTTTGGGGGGAACTATTAGTGACATTTAGCACATTCACATGGTTGAGCAAACATCACCACTATAGTTCTACTATAGTTCTAGAACATCTAGAACATCCTTACCATCCAAAAGGAAACTGCATAAGCATCTCTCCTCATTCCGCCCCGCCCCCCAACCCAGCAACCACTCATCTACTTCCTGTCCCTGTGGATGTGCCTGCTCTGGACATGTCACATAAATGGAAACACACACTGTGTGGCCTTTTGTGTCTGGCTTCTCTCACTGAGCATCCTGTGTTCAAGGTCCAGCCATGCTGCAGTGAGTGTCAGTGCCTCACTCCTTTTCATGGCTGAGTAATATTCTCCTGTATGGCTGGGCCATAGCTTGTTTATCCAGTCATCTATTTTGTTTTAAATAGGGGATTGGATTACTCTTTAAAAATTATTTTATTTTTGTTAATCCTCACACGAGGATATTTTCCCATTGATTTTTAGAGAGAATGAAAGAGAGGGGGAGAGACAGAGAAAAAGAAACATCGGTGTCAGAGAGAAACATACATGTATGAGAGACACATCAATTGGTTGCTTCCCACTTCCCCCAACTGGGCCGGGGATCAAGCCTGTAACCGAGGTATGTGCCCTTGACTGGAATTGAACCTGGGACCCTTTAGTCCACCAGCCAATGCTCTCACCACTGAGCAAAACAGGCTAGGGCTGGAAAACACTCTCTTGATGAGAGAGGGCAGTTGCTATTTCATAGATGAGAGAGTCAGAGAGAAGAGACACACAGAGAGACAGAGAGACAGAGACCCTGAGAGACAGACAGACTGAGAGACAGCGAGAGGAGAGAGGAC